ATAAAATTAAAATTAAAAAATTTTAAAAACCTTCCAACCCTAAGCAAAGGCTAGCTAAAAGACAGTGTTATTATGCAACTTAGAAAAATAATACAAGTGCCAAAAGAAAAAACTCTGGTCAGAGTTGAGAAGTGGGAACAGTGGTCACTAACCACCCAACGAGGAGAAATGGCCTCAGGGTGGAGCCATGAGGCCAGCTCTCATCCCACTGGCCAGGAGCTTAAAGGGAAAGCAGACACTTATCTCCTGGTCCACAACATCCAGGGACGGGAGAAGGGCTGGTCCGAGGCACAGACCCACAGGGAGCATGGAGAAGGCTGGCCCTTTAGTTGTGCAATGCTATACTCAAGAGGGAGGCAGTTGGGGAGTCCAGGGGGAGGTCAGAGCACGGGGAACAGAAAGTCCTTTGTCCAACCCTTGCCTGTGCTTTCTTTTCTTCTTTTGCGACGGGTTCATGAGCTCATCTGTTGGCAGCTTCAGGATAAGTGATTCTTTGACTGCAAACTGAAAGACCTGGAAGAGAAATCCAACAGGACCTGTCACTCCTTGAGCCAGGTGGTCAGATAAGTGAGCCAACCAGGTGCTGGGCATGGGAGCGTTCTGGAGAACTCGAAGGCAGCTGACTGAGCACTTAGGGAGAGACAGAGTGGCACTGGGATATCGCATCACTGGCCTGGAGTTAATTCTTCACTACCTAGCCTGACTCAAGAAAAGAGAAATACTGAGCACAGTTACAACTTTCCTAGTCAGTAGCTTTTGATACCTCTGCCTACCAAGCCCTGAGTAGGATGATTCTTATCAACATTATCTGTCTCTTCTTAAGAAGGGCGACTTTGGGTACCTTGCGGAACCGAGTGGAAGAGAGGATACAAGCAGCACCACTTGGCTAACCACTAGCTCCCCCTGCTGGTATGAAGAGGGCAGAGTCTTGTCTATTTCAGTAAGCCAGCATTTCTGGAAGGCTGGTTTCTTTTCAACGTGCTTCTTTCCTATAGCATTCGTTTTTTTTGCGTCTTTTCCTTTTTGGCTGTGGGCCCTCTTGAGATTCTGTGAAAAGCACAAATCTTCTCGGGAAAATACACACAAAATTGTGTTGCACATGATTCTGTAGATTTTTAGGTTAAGAACCTGTGCCTCAAGGAAACAGGTATGAGCTCCAAAATGAAAGAAAAGGGCACTTCTCTTTACGCTTCTATTGCTTGTTCTAAGTAGAGGCATCATGCAGAAGAGGCCACAGAGACTCCTCCAAAAGTCAGGGAGCTAAGCAGCATGGCACAGTTCTGGTGTTCCTTTCCTATTGGACAGACCAGCCCCAACACCCGGTGACTCCCTGTCCCTGCTCTTCGGTCTGTCTTCTCATTGCAGTCAGGCAGAGACGGAGGGGCACTGGGACACCAGGTCCCACTGCCTCCAGAGCATCAGCGGCTGCTACCAGACTGTGATTCTAGTGATGGCATGAATGAGAACGGTGCGGTCCAGGCCCAGCTATCGGGGGTGGCAATTAGAAAAGCTAGCAATAGAACATCTGGAGGAAAAAGCAACTGAGGAGACTGACAGAGGGGCTGGGAGTGGCAGCTGCAGAAGCAGGAGCAGAAGCATGCCAGATAAGAAGGTCCCCTGAAAGACTTGGGAGCCCCTTCTAGGAAAGGGGTACACATTTAGAAAGACAGACAGGAACCAGAAACAAAGAACAAAGACCAAAAAAAGCTAAAAGAGTATAGAAACATCCAGAAGAGTTAGAGAGCGGCTAGAGGCAGAAATAAGAATTCAGCGAAGAGGAGAGCAGGTCCCCACGCACTGCGAGGCCTGGCATCTGCAGAAGGTCCCAGGTTTGGGGAACCCACCTCGTGGCCCAGAAGCACCCACTCACGAGAGACTGAGCCTAAGACAGCTTCCCTTGAGGTGGGCAGCCACACAAGATGGCAAAAGGGCTGACAGAGCAGTGGATGAAAGGAGGGCCGCGCGTGTCCCTGCTCTTCTCTGCTAGTACCTGCTTGCACGTCTTGGTGCCCAGAAGTCTGGCTATTGAACAGAAGTTGTTGAAGTAGGTGCCATGAAAGACTCGAAAAAGGGATTCCTCAGCCCCAGTCCATTCCACAGGCTCCAAGGGTGCCTCCACTACACAGAGCTGAGGTGGGGCCGGACTAGCCTTCTGCTTCGTGGGGGTCTGACAGCGAGAGTTGGCCTCTAAGAGAGGAGGAGATAAGAAACAGGACAAGAGAGAATGCAGTTGTCATCAGCAGCTTGCCGCAGACTCTGAAGGACTTCATGCTACCCTGAGGAACCAAAACATCTCCTGTCTCTACTGCCTATGGCGAAGCTGTGGAAAGAACTAACCGTTTTTAAAAGGTAGTTAACTTCAAGTGTTAGGCAGTGATCCCGCGTTTAGCAGAGGCCTTGAGTAGAAAGAAAAGATCGCTTTCTGTTCAGTGTACCTGAGGAACTGGAGGCCCAGTCATTGCCTGTATCCCTGTCACTGTCCCCTTCTTTAGTCTCAGCCACAGCAGAGGCTGAAGTGTTGGAGCAGGAAGCACTGACCATGTGGTGCCTTCGCCGGCGGCGACCGGAGCACTTGGAGCGAGGGTTGTGAAGCATGGCGTACTCCTTTGCTCCTTCCTGCAACGGATATGGTATAGCTGGGAAGCGGGAACAGGCCCAGAGTCACCATCCTGATCCCCTCCTCACAAACCACCTTCTTTAACACCTGCGCTTACATGCAATGACCCTGTCTTTTTCTTGCTCTGTACCATGTCAGTGTGACCATATAAAAGCTGCTTAACAAACATTCTAGGGGCGCCTGGGTGGTTCAGTTGGGTGAGCATCCGACTCTTGATCTCAGCTCAGGTCTTGATCTCATGGTTGTGAGTTCAAGCCCCGCATTGGGCTCCCCACTGGGTGTGAAGCCTGCTTAAAAAAAAAAAATTCTCAAACTTATAAATTTATCTAAAAAAAGATATAATCTATGCATCTTCAACTTTCCAGTGAGTTGTATCTAAAACTCATTTGCATGTCAGCTATATAGAATTTGAGAACACATTCTCCTGTAGATGAGGCAATGAGGTTCAGAAAGGGGAAGGGACCTGCTTCTCTTATACTCTACTACCATGTATTAGTATATATACTAATAGAAAACACCATATAGTATACAACATACAGTACAGTATTAATACAATAAATGTTACGTATAGAGTATATATACTAATATATTATACCATATATATATATGAGCCATATATTAGTATATAGCTCATTGTTCCAGAAGAGGAACAAGAATCAGGGCTCCCTGTCCCCAGGCCACATTGTTCTTTTTATTCTACTGCATTGCTTCTGTTTCAACAATAAAATATGTAGTCCTTAAATTTGTACAATATCACTAGTTACTTCTAGAACTTTCCTCCAAATCAGTATGTTAAACTTGGAAGGATATAGTTCATTACTTCATAGCTATGCTTTATTAAAAAAAAAAAAAAGACCAAATAACTATCATTCAGCTTGATCATCTATCTTCTCATCAGACTTGGTTCCCAAATACTTCTAGCTGTTTCTGAAAACCAAATCTACAAGTAAAGGATAAATGTTTACTATTACTAAGGATATTCCGATTAATATCCTGCAGGCCTTAAAGGAAATTCTAAAGGAGAAGTTTTAAAATTAATTGAATCCAACATCATGTGCCTGTGCTACCCTGTGCACACAAAGCATCGCTTACAACTATTCTAACTCAAAAGGTTTAACATAAACATAATTAGCCTCCAGAGCTAATTTTAGCTCATGGGAAATAGAGGGTAGAGAAACAAGTTAAGTAACACCAGGAGAAAACCATAGACAAATCCAGAATATGGGACAGTATTCTACAAGATGATGAGCCTGGATTTTTCAAAACAAAAAGAAAAAAATGGTGTGATAATTTGAGATTAAAGGAGACTGAAAAGACGTAATAACCAAATATGACACATGACTGGATGACCTTGGTTTAGAGAAAACCCCAAACCCAGCTATCCTTGGTGCAGCTGAAAAAATTTAAATATGGAATGGACAGATGATATTATGAAATTCTTGTGAATTTTCTTAGGTGTAATAATGTGATTATATAAGAGAATGTCTTTATTTTTAGGAAGTGCATGCTAGGGCGCCTGGGTGGCTCAGTTGGTTAAGCGACTGCCTTCGGCTCAGGTCATGATCCTGGAGTTCCAGGATCGAGTGCCGCATCAGGCTCCCTGCTCAGCAGGGAGTCTGCTTCTCCCTCTCACCCTCCCTGCTCTTGTGCTCTCTCTCTTTCATTCTCTCTCTCAAATAAATAAATAAAATCTTAAAAAAAAAAAAAAGGAAGTACATGCTAAAATACTTTGCAAACAAGTATCTCAATGTCTGCGACTCATTTTCAAATGGCTCAGCAAAAGACATGCATACACAAATAGAGGGACAAAGTAAATATGGAAAAAATGTCATTAAATCTAAGACAAAGGTATCTTTCACCTTCTGTGCATGATTGAGAATGTTCTTAATAAAATGTGTGGGGGAAAATAGTCGAGCATTATAGCTGAATATGGACTGACTTCTAAAAAGCAATAAAACAAAAACACACACACAGACATACATTTTGGGCACTGATGGCATCTTTGTGAAGCATGTACAGGGTCGCAGGGTAACTGCTGTGAGAGGGACAACATATAAATGATGGCAAGTTGATATAACATGGTGTACTTTTAAAAGTGTGGAGTAATTTATTTTTTTCAAGATTTTTATTTATTTGAGTGAGCAAGAGACAGAGCAAGTGAGAGACAGAAAGAGAGAGAGAGAGAAAGAAAGAGTGTGCACGTGTGGGGGGAGGGGCAGAGGCAGAGGGAGAAGCAGGCTTCCCGCTGAGCAGGGAGCCCGACGCGGGGCTTGATCCCAGGACCCTGGGATCATGACCTGAGCTGAAGGCAGACGCTTAACCGACTGAGCCACCAGGCGCCCCAAGTGTGGAGTAATTTAAAAAGCACGGCCTGTGGAGTTAGACCAGAGTTTTAATTTCATCATTGCCACAACACTGACACCTTAACAAATTTTGGACAAAATACCCATAGTTTCTCCACTCAGGATGTTGTTGGAAGCATGAAAGTAAGATAATATATGGTAAGGGCCAGTGTGGTACTTGGCACGCAAGAAGGAGTCAATGCACATCAGGGAGAAAATAAATCAGATGAAGTCTATTTGTTCTTTTGCTATTATCATATGACTCATTTTCCACATGTATATCCAGTGGCCCTTTCTACCATCTTTTCTTCTATTATCCCACTAAAGATGGTCCCAAAGGCACTTGGTTGTATAACCTAATTTTAATTGGTAGCAGAAATTTTATCAAGGTATTTTATTCTTTATCTACCCTCACTGTATGGTGCAGAAAGCAAAACTGTGTCTTTGGCTAGTGCAACTGAACCTATTCCTTTCTAGTTCTAAGCGTACCGCCTTTCCACATGAATGCAGGGGAATTTATCCTGCTGCATAAAGTCTGTCCATCAGGGAAAGGTCCATCTGGCATCTGGCTGTTTACCTTACAATGAAACATTAGTGCTTTCATGTGTTACTTCTCCTATGTTTGTATGCATTTAAAGGAAGACAGCAAAGAAAATGCTGTCACAGACACGCACTCCTCACTCCATTAGCCTAACTTCACAGTCCTTAGTATCTGGGAGCTCCTTAACAGCAGAGGTCATGGGGCGCCTGAGTGGCTCAGTTGGTTAAGTGTCCGACTCTTGATTTCGGCTCAGGGTCATGAGATTGAGCCCCACGTCAGGCTCTACACTCCGTGTGGACTCTACTTGAGATTCTCTCTCTGCCCCTCACCCTGCTCACTCTCTCTCTCTAAATGGAAAAAGTTAAAAAAAAAAAAAAAAAAAAGAGCAGAAGTCATGTTTTATCTGTGCTTTATGACCCCCAGAGTGCTACATTTTGGCTCATTTGGTTTGTATTCTCAGCAGCAGAAAACAGAAGGACCATTTCCTGCTAAATTTTCAACAGAGTTAACAATGGCAGAACAGTTTAAGAACATACCAGCAAGGCGTGCCAGTCTGGCTCAGTCGGAGGAGCAGGTGACTCTTGATCTCGGGGTCATGAGTTTGAGCCCCATGTTGGGTGTAGAGATTATTTAAATAAATAAAAGTAAAAAAAAAAAAACAAACATACCAGCAAAAGGAAGCAGTCTGTGCCACATGGTTCTGGTTCAATCTTGATCTCTTTGTTCTTGCGTTTATATACATTAGGGGTAGCGTGAAAAGCTGGAAAAAACAAAACTGTCCTGTTTCCAATGGTTCATCCACTTGATAGGATGGGGAAGAACAAAACTGAATTAGGGAGCCATTGTGGGAAAATTTAGATATAAACAGCTACCATCAGGGTGCACAAAATTTAATCATTTCTGACATCAACAATCCTTTCAAAGCTAATAGGTACAGGGACACTTAGGTTGCTGGTTATTCTGTCCTGACCGTGCAAAGCACATCACACTACAGCTGAACAAGTGAGTATCGAACCGGCCCTTTGTAAAACCATCATCCGATCAGAAGCCAGGAACTCTGTATGATTAATGGAAATAAACAGAAGGAAATGGAGTTTGGGGATGGAGAACAGGAGAGCATTTCAGAGTCGCCCCACTCACGGTGAAGGAAGCAGTCGTATTTGAAGCAGCGCCGACAAAACAGTGTGTGGAAGGAGTGCAGAGACTGCTCCCGCTGCACGGACTTGGCATTAGGGCCGTCGATGTTGGGTGTGCACTGAGGGGGAAGTGCATTGGGGTCTGACATCTCCGTTAGCTCTCGATACCTATTTTTAAAAAGAGAGGTAAGAATTCCTTCCAAGGAAATGTCTTCGCTGAGAAAGTACAGACTGCATACTGCCACCCATCCAGGTACAGCCTGCCAAGGGAGACTGGGTTTTTTATGGGCTTCGTTGATGACGGAAGGGTGTATAACTAAGTGGATATGTTACTGCAATTGTGCAGGGCTGGGCATACGTCTGAAAGCAAAGAGAGGGCAGGTGAGAATTCTTACCACTGAACCACCCATGCGAAAGCAAAGAGAGGGAAAGATTTGGTAAGCATGGTGCTGGAGTAACTGCAGAAAAATGGCCGCATTTAGAAAGTTCTCTGCCCAAACTCATTCAAAATCCAGCAATGGTGACCCTTGGTATGGGAATGGGCATTTAGAGGTAAGCAGGCAAGCAGGAAATAATCAGAAGTGCAAGCAAATCACAGTGTACTTACCAGAAACAAGGCTTTTTATTAACCAAAAATAGGCTTGAATAACAGTTTTGCCTGAGCACTCTACATGGCCTGAGCGGGACAGCTTTCCCTACCTCTCCTTCATGTCATCTGGAACACCATTCTCAGGGAACATTGAGGCAATTGCACTGAAGATCATGTCATTTGGGAACTGTTTCTTGGAACTCTTTTTGTTGCCTGAATTGGAAATGACAAAAGACTCCTGAGTGCTATAATCAGAGTATGCAAACAAAACTGTTTGGTCATTTTCCCTTAGGTCACAGCATTTTGATTAGAGCGGCTTTGTTAACCTAACCACTGACTGTTTAGGAACACATAAAGAAGGTCAGTGCTATCTGGACTTATCTAATAGGCTACCAGTAATAAGGAAATCAGAGTCATGTATACGTTCATGACAAAACCCACAGTCCAAGATGGAAACTAGAGGGAAAAACCTGAGTTTTCGTGGAGAGATGTGAGTATTGAAGAATGCCATCATAATGATGGTGCTGAAGAATAAGACAGTGACACTATGTCCCCGGACATCTAATTACATAACAGAGAGCATAATTAAACATTAAGTTAATTAAATATTAACAACACGGAAAAATGCTTATGACAGAAGATCAAAAAAAAAAAGGGATATAAAATTGTGTGTGGGAGGGGGCATGATCCCATTTCACATGATGCATATAAACATGTTGATTTATACATGTACTTTATTTTTTATGTATTTATTTTTAAAGATTTTATTTATTTTTTGACAGAGAGAGAGACAGTGAGAGAGGGAACACAAGCAGGGGGAGTGGGAGAGG